TTTAACAACTACAGTTTTGGTACCTATCTCAGCCTCTGCTGTTGAGAGCATTTCCCAAAACCAGCGAATTATTGTACTGTTCACCCCTCTTGTTTCAAGAGATCGCTTGACCACCTTGTGAGGTATATTGTCAAACGCCCCTGCAATGTCCAAGAAGGCACAAAGTGCTGTTTCTTTGCTATCCAGGCTTGCCTGTATTAGCTCAGTTAACTGGTACAGAACAGTTTCTGTGGATCTGCCCGCTCTATATGCATGCTGACTATCGATCTGCAACGGTTACAGAAGGATATATCGAAAAGTCCATCAACAATAAAATAGAGATTGTGAAAAAGTTTAAAGGTGCTGTAAGTGTTCCAGAACGAGCCGTTGTAATGACAGAGCCTATTTCAAGCAGTGGAGGGACAGCATCTGGTGTCTAGAGGCATACAAGGTCTTACAATTTCTGAATCTACAAAAAAAAATTCATTTAATGTTAAGGTTAATTTAAATAAATAATTGAATTAGTAATTTATGAAGGAAGCTTAATAATTTCTATAAAATGGTGTGGCTTTGAAATTATAACACACTAGTGTGCACACTAGTCTGCACCCTTGTTCCATTTGAAAAAAATGATTAAAATACGATTTGGGTTTCTTCTAACCAGCCAGAAACGCCACAAAAAACATTAGACTATAACACGTAGTGGTTTTAACAAACCTATGGCACTGTAGATTAAAATTTAAAATATTATTTGTTTAAAGCGAAAATATCTATGGTACCATTTAGAAATCAAAAGTTGTAGCCGTTTCCGATTAAATTACGCCAATCAATCCTGATTTATGTCATATACTAATATACCAAATCTCGTATTTTTATCTTCTTCTTCTTCTTCTTCTTCTTTTAGAAGGCGTATGGCCTGTTAAGTTCCGGTTTCCTCCTCGTCTAAGCAACTCTTGCGAGGTTGACTGCCAACTGTCTTGCCAACGTTTAGGTGGTCGTCCAGTAGGTCTTCTGCCATGGGGTACGTTGTTGCGAATTATTATGGCCATTCTGTCGGGGCCCATTCTATTGACATGCTGGTTCCATTCTCTTCTTCTCTGCCTTATCCATCTGACAACGTCGTTTGTTTGACACTTTTCTCTTATGTCTACATTTCTCTGTCTGTCCCTCAATGTGTATCCAGTTATCATTCTTAAGGTCTTCATTTCAGTAGTTCGTAGGATTCTCTTTGTTACTGATGTTTCAGCTCTGGTTTCCGCACCATATATCATCACTGGTCGTATGCAGGTTTTGTATATTCGTGACTTATATTCTGTACTCAAATGTTTGTTTTTCCATATGGGATATTTAAGATGTCCTGATATTGCGGCAGCTTTATTGGCTTGTTTCCTTACTTCTTCTTCCAGGAATCCTGAGCTTGTAATTTTGCATCCGAGGTATTCGAATGACATTATCTGATCAATACAATATTTTTATCTGAACAAATAAACAAGTTATAGGGGTGAGCAACTTTTTAAAAACACCCGATATATTCTATTCTAGCAAAGTATTCAACTGCTCCCTTAAATCTTTTATGTTTTGCTAGCCCTTTTCAGCGAATAGTATTTGTAGTATCATGAGCTGAAAGCCGTAATTGCCGCCAGACATACTGAAAACACTGTAAATTATACACGAACTTTTAGCTTTGCCTTATTACTTCTAACTCTTATTCCCGATCCTATATAAAGTTTGATTTAAAGCCCAATGAAATTTCTGTGCGGCTGTGTTTATTAGAAAACAATCCCAACAATCTGGGACGAAAATTAATCAAACTTTTCTAAAAAAAAAGGATAACTGTGGCACGACTGAAACTTTAGCCAACAGAAAGTATTTAATACTTTTACCGGGACTTTGTGATTTGCTTCTGATTTATTTCTTAAAAAAATGAATAACATGCCAGTCATCATCATCCTAATTTTCAGCTTATTCAACCATTTTGTAGTTCAACTCTCAAAAATCATGAAATGTTGATTTTCCAATTAATTATTTAATAACTACTTGGATACTTTTGAACCGCCATAACTTTCATAAGTTTATGTTGATTAACAATTTAGCAACCCATCAGAGCAAACTCTTTGTTTTCAATTTTCTCGAAAACCATCGCTCTGGGCGATGTGCAACAAGAGTATCTTTTTTATAGGAAAAAGTATGTAGTTCTCAAAAAATGAAATGAAAATGATTTAGAAACTTTTTTATCTCTTGTGTTTTTTTGATAAAGCTCACCGATTTGAAATTAAAAAATAAAATGTAAAGCATTACATGTCAGGACAAAAAACATTTTTAAATAAAGAATCTAGTGGGCAGCTGTAATTTTTTTAGGAAAAAATCGTCGGCCGCTGTCACTTTTTAGGATGTTTCTAATATTGTGTTATTTGACATTACCCTACTAGATTATTATTATTATCATTATTATCACTAGATTCTTAATCTAAAAATATTTTTAATCCTGACATGTAATGCTTTACATTTTATTTTTTAATTTCAAATCGGTGAGTTTTATAAAAAAAATACAAGAGATAAAAAAGTTTCTAAACAAACTAAACTATCCAAATTATTTTTTTTACATGTGTTTGATAAGATTTTTCTTTAAATTTCGTTAACAAGAATGATAGGGGTAGTTTATTTCAACCCCTTCCACTAATTTTAAAAAAGTGAGAAAATTACCAGAAAGTGTGTTTTCATAACAGTAATGCTTCCATAAAATTTCATTAGTCTGTCTCTTTTCGTCTTCAAGATAAAAAATAAGAACTTTATTTTTCCGCCATCTTTGTACCGCGATATCTCCCTAATGGTTGACTTTTGACCCAACGTTTATGAAGCAAACTACCCTTTATTTTGAACAAGGAATCACCCCCTGAAGTTTTTCGCATTTGTTTTGAAACACCCTGTATATTGAATAGAATGACATATCAAATGTCAACTTTGACATTTTCGCATATGGTTTATTTGATTGAGGTTTGTAACGAAAATTTGACTCGAAATACCAAATGTGTGGTATCAAATTATTCCTAAAAAATGCTTTTTCCAAATATGCTAATGAGCATCCCTTGTTCCATTTGAAAAAATGAGATATGATTAAAAATACGATTTGTGCATTTTCTAACTGGCCAGAACAAGACACTAAAAACATTAGATGATCAAATCTATTTTTCCAAGGCTCCTTGATTAAGAATTGGTGTTTTTAACATAGCCATGGCACTCTAGATAGAGTTTTTATTAAGCTAGAATGTCAAAAGTTGACATATGATATGTCATTCTATTCAGAATGTCATGTTCTATCGAATAAAGTAAAAAATACCGAGGTTGCCATTTAAAAATCAACAATTGAATACGTTAATCAATAAGAATTTATGTCATACACTAATATACCAAATCTCGTTTTTTTATTTGAAAAAATAAAAAAGTTATAGGGATGAGCCACTTTTGAGACGCACCCAGTATATGTATTTTTATACTATTTCTAGTGTTATTTATTAGAATGTCTTTTCTGTCTAATAGTTCGTTGTACATTATTGGTATTATACCTGTATTATTAAAAAGTTAAATGGCGAATAATAAACAAAAAAAAACAAATAAATTTCAAAGGAAAAGTGAAAATTAATACCAAAATCTTAGAACAAAAATTTCAAAGATGCCGTATTATTTTTCCAGCAGCCGATGTCCCTTGATATTGTGTCACCCTATATATGGAGGCTTTGGCAAAAATTTTCAAAAAATATACTATTTTTATTGTCTCCAAAAACAATACCTTTTATTCCAGATAAAATATCCTTTTTATTTTTATCCGTTTTACAAAAAAATATCCAAAAAATTCTTCAAATACTTATACGTTTGGATATCAAAGATCTCGTATTATTTTTCAAAGGGATTGTCTCTAAGAACAATATATGCTCTTTCGACCAAAAAAAACTGTGTATTTCTATACGCTTTAGAGAGATCCAATGGCATTATCTGCTTTTTAGATCCTACAAAGCGGGTCAATACGGTCTGAACCGTTTCATCCATTATTGACCTGAGAGTTCCAGCTTGATGCACTTGGGTGCCTTTCAAAGGTTTTATTTAATCAATTTGTTCGGTATTTTAGGAAGTTTTCCTGGAAACTACGTTATTTGGAACCCTTTAAGCATTATTTATCAATCGATTGATCACTAAACATGCCTGTGAAAATTAAATATATTATTAAAGCGTTATAAAACTTCCAAAAAAGTAGCAAAATAAGCGTTGGGCATTTATCGTTTTATGTAAAACTGGCTAGGTATTTTTCCGACAAATGAAGAAGGAAATTAAAGATAAAGGATTATACTATATCCGTATTGTAGCACATTTTTAGACAATTTCTTTATTTTTAAGATTTTGATGGTCAAACCAACAAAATATTCCTTATGTTTGGACTAAATTTTCTCGAAAATAAGGACATAATTTAAAATTCCGTTACAATGCGGAAATAGGTTGAAGTTTTGTGATTACAGTGATATACAATTTATATGGTTTTGTGACAAATTGCTCGCTATTTTATGGCAAATGCTGAAGCTCTGCAAACCTTAATCAAGCCTTAATCAAAGCACGTGTGTTTGGAATTTTGGATACTTCCCCAATAAATTAACGCACCACAAAAAAATAACCAAAAGTTTAAGTTAAGTTTTTGTCAAAACCACTTATCCGATTTGGACGATTTTTTTTTGAATGATAGGTTATTCTTTCCACAACGTTGCTATACTAACTGTATTTTGATAGGAACCCTTTTTATACTAATACCGGGTGTAGCAATTATAACGTGTTTTTTTAATAAAATTTGTGACACCCTGTAGAGTTGATCAGTTACAGTATCAAGTTAAAATTGAAATCACATTTTAGCCTTATCTTTTTCTTTACATTTTGTTTTTTTATTTTCTTCTTTATCTTCCTTATTACACGAGAAACAATATTTTATAGGATGGCATTGGTTTTAATTAACATTTTTCCATTTTACTCACTGAAGTAAGTAGCAGGCTATGGAAAAACACGGATTACCAGTAAATGTCAAATAGAGATGCTTGTTGTCAGTGTCAGTCGTTTTCGTCCTTTTATTATATCAAAAATATGCAACGTGCACGTGAAACAAGAAATCTTACTGGCGAAGAATGTGCTCAAGCATTAATATTGTCTGAGGAAGGTTGGAGCTACCGAAGAATTGGTGAACGATTTAATGTAACTCACTCAACCATTTCACGAGTATAGATATACTGGGAGTAATTGTCGCAGGCCGGGACAAGGCAGGAATCGAAGAACCAATCCGATTCAGGAACGTTTTTTAAAACTCTCAACATTAAGACAACGTTTCGTAACAGCTCGGACCCTTAAAACTCAGCTCAGAGATACTAATGGTCTACAAGTTTGCACAGAAACTAGCATCTCTATTTGACATTTACTGGTAATCCGTGTTTTTCCATAGCCTGCTACTTACTTTAATGAGTAAAATGGAAAAATGTTAATTAAAACCAATATTAAATCATGTTATCCTATAAAATGTTGTTTCTCGTGTAATAAGGAAGATAATGGAGTAAATAAAAAAACAAAATGTAATAAAAGATAAGGCTAAAATGTGATTTCAATTTTAACTTGATACTGTAACTGATCAACTCTACAGGGTTCACAAATTTTATTAAAAAAACACGTTATAATTGCTACACCCGGTATTAGTATAAAAAGAGTTCCTATCAAAATACAGTTAGTATAGCAACATTGTGGAAAGAATAACCTATCATTCAAAAAAAAATCGTCCAAATTGGGTAAGTGTGCTTTTGACAAAAACTTAACCTAAACTTTTGGTTATTTTTTTGTGGTGCGTTAATTTATTGGGGAAGTGTATTTCCTTCGGCCACATACCCGCTCTACTATCGACCATTAAGAACTCATAGACTCTTAAGCCCCATACTCACACTTCGCTACTTCACTTCGTTCCTTCCTCGCGTCTCTTCGTCCAAAAATCATATATTTACTATGGGAAATTGTCGATTTATGTGACTGTGTGTTCCTTCGTTCCTTCGTCAAAACGCTCCTTCGTCCGTTTACTTCCTCGAAACGCTCCTTCCCCGTACTATCTGTCGGTTTTTGGACGAAGTAGCAAAGGAATTATCACGAACACAAAAAATATTAAAATATATAAATCGATCTTGGATTTCATTCTTAGTTGATTTCTTGATTTGGCAGTACGTCTGTACAGGGTGTCCCATTTTCGTGTGTTTTGCAGGGTTTCTCGTTTATGAGTCGAGCTACAAAGATGCGGTTTTCACATTACGATGTTACTTTTTTATGAAACTAAAGATGCTACATATTATACAGATATGTCCTAGTTCTCTTACTTTCTAATATACAGGGCGAACCTGAAATTATTGCATTTTTCGATTCCCTTTGTATCTCGATTATCTTATAACTTATGGATAAGGTGAAAACGGTGTCCCGTACAGTTTTTCACGTAGAATGCAGTTACGTAACTAGTTCTTCGTTAGAATCTGTTGATATTTTGCGATATTTTGCATATTATTTTATTTTCCATGTTACGGGCTTTCTAAAATACTTACATATTTTCATAAACGGGGTAAAAATGCATTATTTAACTTTATTACATAGTCGGCCGGTTTAAATTAGGTAATCAAAACAACAACTAATTTATTCGACGTAAAATGTGGGTTATTGGCTATTCCACGCTAATTTTTATGTATAGTTATAATATAACTCTAAAATAAGAGCCGTTTAGCAGTTTAGCAGTACCTAAATAAATATGTATACCTAGAGTATACATATTATAATTTTAGAAAGCTCATAACAAGGCAAATAAATTAAAAAATAATATATAGAGTGTCCTGTTTAAAAAAAGAACATAAGTTTGAGTCATTTTTCGAAATAGACAGCTCCCAACGAAGAACTAGTTTCGTCACTGCATTCTACCTGAAAAACGAGACACGGGCGGTGGGTAAGTACTCAATAGGTAGAAAAAAACAAAATTAGGGTATCCGGTATATACCTGTACATTTAGATGAACAGTCTAATTTTATAAAAGGTATTACAGATGGGGGTGGGAACCTTTGGTGTTACACAGCAAAATAAAACACTAAATCACCATAATACACCAAAACGCTTTTACTTCTACACTGGACGCGCGTTTCGCTAACCACGTTACTCCGTTTAGTTTATAGTTAGTTTAGTTTAGTTTATAATCATCTGCTGATGATGCTAACATGGTTAGCGAAACGCGCGTCCAGTGTAAAAGTAAAAGCGTTTTGGTGTATTGTGGTGATTTAGTGTTTTATTTTGTTGATAAAATGTATTTCCAATGACCGCATAGTAAATATCCGGTATAATACCAGAAATATAAAGTAATATCAGGAATATATCTACAATATTCCTAATATATATTGGTATATTCCTGTTCCCGGTATTATACCGGGTATTTACTATGCGGTTGTCGGAAATACCTTTTATAAAATTAGGATGTTCATCTAAATGTACAGGTATATACATATATACTCAGATTTTATTTATCTACAAATTGGGTACTTACCCACCGCCCATCACTGACCCTTTTCACCTTTTTGATAAGTTATAAAATTATCGAGATACAAAGGTTATCGAACAATGCAAAAATTTCTACTAATTAAAAAATAAAAAGTATAAAAGAAAGAAATAAGAAATAAATTTGAACTAACGAGGCTAGGATAAATCTGTGTGTAGCATATTTAGTTTCATAATAAGTAGAACAATGATGTGAACATGGCATCTTTATATCTCTGCTCATAAACCAGAAACCCCATAAAACACACAAAAATGGGACACCCTGTACATCTAGCAATCGCCAGTCGATATAAAAATACATATCACACACAATAGTCTTAAAAATGGAAGAAAAAGACAATATTGTCTTCATATTTGTGAAGAAATACATGTCTAAATATGGACATGGATGTAATCGTAGCGACAAAAATAAAAAAATAGAAATAGTGTGTATGAAGCCTTTACAAAAATATCTGAAGAAATGGGGATTGACATCAACGTTTAATTAGTTTGTCATATTTCATAGTTTCGATATAAATAACAATAAACTTTATTCTATTGTTGACTGGCCTATTCATACTGATATACCTTGTACATGATACTGAAATATTCGGATTTATTAAAAAAATTATATTATTAAAATTCAATTTTTATTTTTGACACGACAAAGAATTGCCGTTTTATAATAAAAATTTTAGAGGTTACTAGATATTTCGTAATAAAGATGTAGCTCTGCTATATCAAAAATATTTTGTGGTGTGTTGTTGCATAATCGACTAATTTCCAAGCATCGAATGGACGAAGGAAGGAAGCGAAGGGACGAAGTAACGCGAGGAAGGGACGAAGGAGCGAAGTGTGAGTATGGGGCTTTAAGTATTAACAATTTAACTTGTAATTAAAATTTAAAAATTTTGTACGCATTTTTACATACATTCAATAAAAATTCTATTTTGCTAGAAAATATAGAAAAAAAACTTATGTCAATCGAAAAAAAATGCTTGTATCAACGATAAAAACGCTTATCTAAGGGTTTTATTTCATAAAATCACGCGATTTAGTGGTTAAACCCTTAAATGTTCTAACAGAGGCGAACGACCCCTAAACAAATAAAAAAATCCGATCAACCCCGGAAAAACACACACAACAAATCCATCGTGCGTAAATAAAAACAGGAAAAGGATAAAATTTCAGGAAAATAGGAAATATCTTTTTTTACTCGGGGGTAAATAGAAAAAGAAATCGTATATATCTGTGGAAGTTCCTAGAGATAGCTATTTATTTATTTGCCAGCTTCAGATGAGGTCTGGATCAAATTATGTTTACTCTTGAACACCTACGAGTATAAAGTAGAGTAAATAAGAATTGTAAGTCTATATACTTTAGTAGAATTTGAGGTTTCTTTGGTTCTATTTTTGGAATGGACTGAATTAAATGTCTATGTCTAATGAAATATACAGGGTGTTTCAAAACAAATGCGAAAAACTTCAGGGGGTGATTCCTTGTTAAAAATAAAGGATAGTTTCCTTTATAAACGTTGGGTCAAAAGTCGATCATTAGGGAGATATCGCAGTACAAAGATGGCGGAAAAACAATGTTTTTATTTTTTATCTTGAAAACGAAAAGAGATAGACTAATGAAATTGTATGGAAGCATTACTGTTATGAAAACACACTTTCTGGTAATTTTTTCACTTTTTTAAAATGAGTGAAAGGGGTTGAAATAAACTACCCCTATCATTCTTGTTCACGAAATTTAAAGAAAAATCGTATCAAAAATCGTATTTGTAATTTTAGACATACGTGTCTTTTAATTAAGTGAGTAATTACTAAAACTTCTGTAGTTCACTCACGTTACCTATAAATCGAAAAAAAAACTAACTCCACTAGAAATATCGGATTAATCTGCCATCCAATATCCGATCTCCGCGTCAAAAATTGCTATTCCCGCTGGGACACGAGGAACGCCCTAATGGAAATCTGAGTAGCAATTAAAATGGATGCTTCCATTTGACGTCGCTGTTGGAACTCACCGAATTGTGGGGTTAGAACTAAGCAAGAAGGATTTTTGTTGACGCGTCGGGTAATACAGGTTAAACGCGCGTGATTAATAATTCGCATGATATTTAATCAGCGTCTTATACGGTATAGAACTTCTGCTTTAAAACAATATAGTAGGTTGTAGAGCGTAGATTTGCCAAAATTCGATTTTATTCTCAAAGAAATTGTCTTTAGAGTTGTAGTTGTCTGTATTAGTAGTATATCATATTTTTGTCAATTTTACACATATTTTATTTTTTATCTCGAAAACTATAAGAGATATGTATAGGTTAGTATAATAGAAAAATTATAAGATACTAGCGTGTACCCGCGACTTCGTTCGAGTCGAATTAATCATTTGTAATGGCGATGATGAAGAAAAGCAAGAATTTCCATTGACATACAAACTGGATAAAATTTTCTCACATTTATGTCAGCATGAGAAAAAACAATATGACGATATTATTATATAACTTGGTAATATTTGAGGGGTAGTTTCATCTCGTTGGAATTTGACTTTCGAAAAGTCCGTATGCCAAAAATAAGCTTTTTACGTCAAGCAGTTTAAGCAGAATCGTGGTTAATCATTTAACCTACTTTTTGGAACACCCTGTATGTCCAAGCGTTTTCCCGAAAGACTAACCGTTTTTTAAATAACAAATATTGTAATATTTGAGGGGCGTTTTCACCCTCTTGGAATTTGAGATTCGAGAAACCCCTCCTTATCGAATCTCTACACCCCACAGTCAATCCGTTTGCCAAAAATCAGCTTTTTACATCAAGCGCTTTTAGCAAGATCGTGATTAATCAATGACCAGATTTTTCGAAACACCCTGTATACATTTTTAAAAAATTTTAAAATATGTAAAAAAACAAAATAAAATATACGTGTTTAAGGGTTTTTTCGGAAACTTGACCGTTTTTTAAATAAAAAATATTGTAATATTTGAGGGGTGGTTTCACCCCTTGGAACTGGAATTTCGAAAAATCCCTTCTTATCGAACCTCTACACCCTAGAGTCAACCTGTATGCCAAAATTGAGCTTCTTACGTTGAGTGGTTTGAGCAGGATCGTGATTAATCAGTGAGTCAGTCACTTAAAGATTTTATATATTAGTATAGATAAATTAAAAAAAAAAATAAGGAATAAAAAGTTTTTTATTTCCTGCTAACGCCATTATTTCATATAGTTGGTTCTTTCGACGTTTACTTCTACGTAATTTTACTATAGTTTATGGAGAAGATAGAAACACGTAAAAAAGAAAGCGGACAGAAAAAAAGGAATAAAAGTAACTGGACTTTTTCCCTAGGGAACCACTTATATTCAGCTATCCCGGAAAATGCTGCTCGAGCATAATCGTTCCGGACAAAAATATATTCTAAATATTTCCGGGCCAGTGCTGAATTTGATGGCACTGGAGAAAAATGAAATGGATATAACAATGGAGAGTGTTTACCATTATCATCAAAGGCTTTCTTTTGTACCGTGAACATTAACTAATAGTATTAAAACAAAAATGTTTGAGATTTAAACGGTATTTATATGAATTTGATAAATCGTAGTTATTATCTCTCATTGATAAAATTTTAATTAACGTCATATTTTTTGTTATTTTAAAATGTTAAAGAAGCACAAAATTTATTAAGTTAATAACCAGTGATGGGCAAGTACACGGTATATTAAAATTTAGGTAAATACCCAATATTTTGAACTCTGTATATACCCAAAGGATCAATAAATGGTATATTGAATTTGGATAAATACCATCCCATACAGCACATCAAATCACATTTACGATGTGTATACATTATTAGATGCAGATACAGGGTGACACAATCTCCCCAATGTAAATATGCTACGTTTACACATTGTAGTTCAACACGTATGCACAAAGGTTAAACGTCCGCCTCACAATGTAGCCACAGTATAGCATTTACGTATACACAAAGTAAGGGATACACAGTGTGCCGTAGGATACACAGTGCATGTGTATTACGTTTAAACTCTGTTTACACATTGCAGTTGTGACTACCGCGTGTATACTTATGTATTTTGCTTCGTATATACATCTTGTGCTAGATAAAACTACTTCTTATGAACGAATTTAGGAAATAATACAAGTTTTGATGCCTAACTTTTCGTTCTTTTTAAGAATTATTTATTCAATGATCCCAATTATATCTTTTTAGAACGAAAATTAGGAAGGCAAAACTTTGTATTTTCGAAAAGAAAACACTGTAAAAGCACAGAATTTGTATCAAAATGTATTAAAAATATAAGTACCTTACTAGGTACTTATATCACAATGTTGTTATACTTAACAACATACTAAAATGGTAAACACTGGTATATCGCCACGATTTGGTGGACCTCGTTTAGTAATTTTTTCTCCTCTTTTCCTTCCAAGCAGTTGGTTTGTTAGCATACTCATTCATCGAGCACTCTGTTGGACTTTGTTGTATTTTATTTCCAGATTAACAATCTTACCTTTAAATTTTATATGAAACTGATTATTGAATATTAAACATATATCTGTATATTGATCCATCAATAACTTACTGAATATCAGTGTAAGAAGTTCTTTGAAGTGTTTAAATCTTTCTTTCTCTGGTCCATTTAGATTTTTATTATTTCCAAATTAAAAAAAAATATATTGCAGAGCTAACCTCTTTATCATTATACGAGAATATTTGGAGTTTTCATTCATTGGAGTCAAAATTTGGTAAATTGGGTATCGAGTACGGGAAGAGTCGCTACTATAATACTAATAATACACTTAGAAAAGTGTAACACAACTACATAAAAACAGAACATTTGTATAGAGCTTCCGAATGATAAAACAATAATGGCTGCTAACACATACCACTGCTAGAAAGGAGAAAGGAGAGAGGACACATAAGATACACTTGGTCGGTGTATCTACGCTGAGGCTATCCGCGCGTGCGCACACCTTCATTTCATGCTAGAATGTAGACACAACAGTACACTATTACAAAGTGTCTATATAGATATTTATATTATGTGTATACGTCACATTTTTACAAGGTGTGTACTATACGCACAACTATGATACGAAGTATCACACATACATATGACTTATACATTGTATGTCTCATATACCGACGTCAGATTTCATCATTTTAATAATTATTTGTTACGTTACAAAAAACTCTTTAGAATCCTGTGTGCACATGGTATACAACTAGTAAACACTGTATCACACAATTTTATCAAAATAAACCTGCGTGTATCTCATATGTATATGTTAGAACTAGATGAACACTTAGTTTCACTTTAACATATTTTGTTTTTCATGTGTCTCCCTTGTAGAAACGTAATTTCATATGGACGTACTGTATCGGATTATATCCGGTATACAGGGTGTTGCATCATCGAGCGGGACATAGGAAATCCCATGTAAATTTTAGTGGAGTCAATTATTGGCTTCCCTAATTATTTTAGAGAATAATTCTATTTAAGTTTATTGAACAACACTAAAACCCACATTCAAAAGAATAACTTTAGATATTTTTGATTAGCCCGTTTACGAGTTATCGCCGATTTCTTTTTAAATATTTCTCCTTTTTTATGGCTCTGTATTTACTTATGAGCACCAGTCAAGGTAAAAGATAACTGTCAAATGAAGTTGACATTTCAGAAATTACCTATTTAAATTATCTATTTAGTGCTTTATTATTATTATTAAAAACTCATACCTACATTGAAAATATTAGCCATGAATTACACTACCGAAGAAAAAGCATCGATGATTAAATAATGGTATTATCAAGGAAATAGTTATCAAAAGGTGTCGGACATGTTTGCTGCTCTGTATCCGAATAGACCAATACCTGGAAAATCTACAATCGCAAGAAATCTCCAGAGATTTGAGACCAAAGGCACCCTAATAAATAACTGCAGATGTGAAGCAAGGCAGGAACAAAGAGAAGATGCAAGAAATGATACCGACTTGGAAGTTTTATTGTGCGTGGAAGAGAACGATGGAAAGATCAGCACAAGGAAACTTGAGGATGAAATAGGAATAGATCACACTACAGAGTTTCAAATTTTGAAACGACATAAATACTATTCCTTCAAATATGAACAGCACCAAGAGCTACGAGATGGGGACAAAATACGGAGGCAGGCGTTTTGTTTTGATATGATGGAAAGAGCAAACACGGATAGGGAATTTTTAAAAAACATATGTTTCACTGACGAATGCACGTTTACCTTAAATAATGAACCCAATGTTCAAAATTATCGATATTGGAACAAAGAAAACCAACACAGGTTTGTCGAAACAAGGACGCAATATCCACAGAAAGTAAATGTTTGGGCAGGGATATTCGGACACAATATTATCGGGCCATTATTTCTTACGCGAAATTTAAATGCAGAATATTATTTGGAACTATTCGAAAATCATATTTTACCTGCTATACGTGATGCCGCTAGGGAAAATCAGGAAGTTTGGTACCTAATGGATGGCTGCCCGGCACATAGTACCCTGGCTGTTCGGGAATATTTAGACAATAGTTGGCCAGCAAGGTCTCCTGATATTTCGCCAAATGATTTCTTTCTCTGGGGCCATTTAAAAAACAAGATATACAAGGATAAAAAATACCTAAATCTAGACGAGTTAAAAAATGCTATTTCTGCCGAATGCAATAGAATTTCAGTTTACCAACTAGCGAATGTAAGAAGAGAATTTTATGATCGCCTGGGTTATTGTTTAGCAGTCGATGGAGGAGTATTTGAACATCTTCTTAAATCCTAAAGTTCTAACAATTTAATAGTACCCAAATTAATAAGTTATTGAATATTGTAATAATACTATAATTAACCTTGTAATTGATTACTTTATTTTACTTTAATTCATATTAATTTGTATTTATAAATACATCTTTAAGATTTCCGATGTAGGAATGAGTTTTCAATAATAATAAAGCACTAAATAGGTAAATTTCTGAAATGACAACTTCATTTGACAGTTATCTTTTACCTTGACTGGTGCTCATAAGTAAATACAGGGCCATAAGAAGAGAGGAGAAATATTTAAAAAGAAATCGACGAAAACTCGTAAACGAGCTAATCAAAAATATCTAAAGTTATTCTTTTGAATGTGGGTTTTAGTGCTCTTCAATAAACCTAAATAGAATTATTCTTTAAAATAATTAGGAAAGCCAATAATTGACCCCATTAAAATTTACATGGGATTTCCTATGTCCCGTCCGACGATGCAACACCCGGTATACCCATTCATACTCACGTTTTTAATTTAAAGTATTCTAACAATTTTTTGTTCATTATGGCATTTTTGTTTTCAACCATCTCAAGAACAAGACCTCAAAACATAAAAAACTAAGGATGATCGGTTAAAAAACTACCAGTTAAGTCAAATAGTTCACAATAGCCAATGAATTTTATCAAAAAAAAAACGGCAGCACAGCGCCGACAGGATAATTTTAGGTAAATACCCTAACTTTATAAAGACATTTCCCGGGACGACCGCATGGTAAATACCAGAAATATACCCAGTACAACACTAGATATGTATCTATAATATGTCTCAATGGGTATATACCCAACACCGTCACGATATATATTAAATTTTATTTACGTGCCCGTTGGGTATTTACCCACCATCCATCATTGATAATAACCACCTATCAAAGAATGAAATCGAAATTATATTTCCATAGAATCGCGGTTTGATTTTGGACTTTGAAAAAGGTCTTTAAAAAAATGTAACCATATTTACATATTTTTTTATCAAAGGATAGGACTTGAGAATGTAATCTAGAGATCAGAGGAGTACCACAATAGATCTGGAAAAGTTAATATGGAACAGTCTAACCTAACCATAGCAAACTTTGTAAAACTCTAAAAAACTGTATTTCTTACTTTAAATTTCCCGAGTAGAAAGACCGAAAGTGCTTTTTTAATTTTCCTTTAATTAATAAAATTAAATATTTAAGAATTAGGAAGTTTTCCGAAAATATGAACCGTTCATAATAAATTCGGGAGAATTGGACTCTATTGATTTTGGCGGAAAAGTTTGGAAATTATTTTCTAAAAAAAAAGGTTACAGGCATCCGTATTATAAACTTTTCTTACTTCTTGTTCAGTAAAATATTTAATTGGTAGGTACAAAAGATCTCGACATCTCACTAGTGAAGGAGAGGGGTCAAAAAATCACTAATAAGATCACATTTAATTTATGAACGTCCCCTTAACACCAAACAAATATTTTATCCTCGAAAAAAGGGGATAATAGGTCTGTAGAAAACTCCTAAAAAAGTTTCTTAAGTTTGTTCCGAAGCTACGTGATACGAATTGAAGTTTCGTTCCCGTGTTCGCTCTTTTGTGAAAAAATATTCCCCAATATTTTACCGTTTTTTTCTGTAACATCAGTAACGGACCGACTTTTTTTCCGAAAGGGTTTAGCAATTATTTAAATTCTGCCTTATTCAGCCTCTTTTTATTCTTTCAATATTCTTATTCTAGTTTTGGAAGAGTATCCTCCTCTCAGAAAAAAATATATTATATTCAACTCTATATTTTGATAAATCATTTTTATGCCTAAAAAAATAAAAGTATTTTGATTTGGATATCATCACCACAAAAACATAATAAATAGGAGAAATTAGAGTTCCCCCTCTCCCAAACGTTCTCCCAAGAGGTATTTTTTACTAGACTATAGCGTGACAATTTCTTTTTTTTTAACTACGAGCCGCCCCTGCATATAGCTTTAACAAAGTTAGTTGAGAGTTAACGCGAGTGTCCCCAAATGGGGGGAAAAGCAGATCGAAAATGATAGGGAAGATGGAGAGTTAGAAACGGGAAACCAGGAAGTTCTCCCCAATTTACTTCTGATTTTTCCTCTCGTTTATTAAGGCATAAAATGCCAGAGTAAAAAAGTCTTCCTTGAAATCAATCTGTTTTTTGATGTTCTTTTATGCCCATAAAAAGTTTTTTATTCAATATTCAGAGAAAGATTTTTAAAGGAATTTAATTTACCTTATTTTTATTTAAATTATTTATCAATGGATTTTATTTAATTATTTTGATGATAATAAAAAAAATTGTAATATACAAAATACCATGTGAGTGGTACATAAATGTATTGCTCAGGCATCTGTAGATTCTTCTTTCATTTTAATAAACATAACATAAATAAAATACAAACTAAAAATAATCACATTTATGAAGAAAGTTTAAAGCTTTTTTGTTTTACCTCATTGAGTAATTATTAATATCAGTTAGTTTGAATCTATATAATGTAATTTTAACAGAACATCAACGGATTTTACAGACGTATCTGTTAAAAAAAATAGTGTTGTTGAATAGCTGTATTTAGATATTTTAAATAGTTTTTTTATATTTTTTGTTTGTGTTTTTTTTTGCTTCCGACGACGGGAAGAGATATACTTCCCAAAACGTTTTTTTTTTGCAAAATGACACTGTGAAATTGGTCTCCGACGGATCAACGCAGTGTTGTCTACGAAAAATAACAATTTCATTTTGTAGATTTTCCTCTAGCGGCAATAAACAAGTAATTAAATTTAGTTAATCCTAATTAATTTTGCGCCACATCGATTCCGTGCGAAAACCAATAACATTGTTAAATTCGTCATTATTAAATATATTAAATGCCGTATAGTGTATTATTCAATATTAATTTATTTTAATTAAATCGAACGCAACAATGTGTTTAGCAAATTCCAATTTGATTAAATGCACTAACTCGTTATGTGATACTATTTTTTTTAATAAAAGGTAAGAAAATATACAGGGCGAGTCTTAAATAAGTGCAAATATTTTTAGGAGTAATATATTTCAACTCCAGAAACAAGTCTATAAGGTTTTTCCGCGAAAAAAAATTAAAAATTAGATTTTTTTTTAAATTTTAAGTTAAAAAATATCTTTGTAATATTGTACCATAAATAAATAATTATATATTATTAATATTGTCAAAATATTTTACAATTTGTAGACAAAGGTAAAGTAAACAAACGAAGTAAACAAACAAAAGAGGATACAAAACATTATACAAATAACATTGTCAGTCTTATTGTTTAAAATAAACATTTATAAATGTTTACAATGTCAAAAAATAAAAAATCAATGTCAAAGAATAAAAAAATATCAATGACCTCTAGATAAATTTTCGATGTCATTGGTAAATATAGTAATGGCAAACCTTAGACCAAAGTGTTTACAAGATCAAATTCAATTATCAAAATATAAGTCATTTACGGCGTAGAAAGCCTTGTCTAGTAAATAAGATTTCAATGGTTTGCGAAATGAAGAAAATGATGTTATGGATTTGATTTCAAATGGCAGGTGATTGTGCATTTTTTTCGAGTTATATAATATTGAACTTTTAACTAACTCTGAGCGTGGGGTAGGTAGATAAAAATCTTGCTCCGCGTTCCTGAGTGGATAAGTGTGAGATGGCCTTTCTTGAGAAGCTGATACATGCTCACGTATTAGGCAAACGGATTCAAATATAAATAAGGAAGGAAGAAGTCTTGGCAATGAGCTCTGCTGTTTCTCCTCTCTTCTGGAGCTTGAAAATGCGGTCAAATTGAGTCGCACAACACATACGCCAGATTGGAAGTGCATACCTGAGGTGCAACTCAAAAAGTGCATAATAAACAGTTCTAGCCACTGACAAGTTAAGCTCCTTAGGAGCAGATCTTAATGCAAAACAGGCAGAGCTTAATTTTTTCGACAAAGCATCGATATGCATGTCCCATTTCAGAGAATTGTCTACAACTAGCCCTAAGAATTTTACCGATTTTACGACGTCAATGGTGGTGTTGTTAAGTACAAAAGGCTGCAGCGAGTTTTTATACGAAAGTAAATTAAATTTACTAGAAAGATAACCCAGAAAAGATCCATTGGTTCTCAAAATTTATAAATTTAAGCGAAAAATCTTTTTCTTTAATTTTCAAAGTAAAATACCTCGGTTATTTTGGACTTATTTGTAAGAGTCCACGGTAAAAAAACCGCAAAGAGAAAATTAGTTTCTTTTATCGAGATCGAGCAGCCCTGAAAATATTTGCACTTATTTTAGACTCGTCCTGTATAGGTAAAATCGATAAATCCAGACTAGCACTAAGAAGTTCGTCACACTACCCGTGTATAATGATGAGCAAATACAAGTCCCAAACCAAGACTCTCTTGGTCTTCGCCTTTTTTTCAGCCATTTGTTCTTTTAATTTAGATATTATTGATTCTTTAGATTACCCAACATATTTTTGATTATAGTCTTTAAATAAAATTTAATAAACAGCCGACTTTTCCGGTAGAGGTATTTTTAAGTGTTTTAAAGATTTCCTAATAGTTACTATAGTGATAAAGTGTATTATCAAATTGAATAAATGGTTTTCATGTGTTGACAAATTATGATAATTATTTATAAATTGGCATAGATTTAAGTATTATTCAATTGATTTCTGCATTCAAAACTTGAAAAATATAACAAAGAATATAACGTGAGTTTATTTTCCCAATAATATTTCTTTAAACATGGGTTTTAAAACGACACATATTAAGAGTTTGTGCCTGCTAAGTATTTCTGCGTCTCAAGCATGTCACGCCATATCTGATTTTTATGGGCGTCCTGCGCTCCGATTTAGGGGTAAAAGTATTCCTAGAAAAGCGTTCAAAATCGAACAATGATTGGTCGAAACAATTCTGTTTCGAAAAAGAAAGTTTGAGAATATTACCTAATGCAGAAAAATACACATATTCCGACGCACAGTACAGTTTTGAGTGCGGTGGCGTGAATAGTGTGTCAGTTAAAGTAAAGTTAATTAGTTAGTTAGTGCAGCGATATAAGCAGAAAGCAGGGTGAGTGCATCTCACTAAGTGTCGTAGTTTATTAATTAATTAGATCATGAATATTTTAATAAATATATTGATACGTTTAGTTAGATATCATTTGCGTACACATATTATTAAATATTACATTAAATAACTGCGCCGTATACATTAGCTAGGTCAAAATATAGAATATGAAAGTTAGATAGGGTTAGCTATTAAGTAGTGCGGCGGTATACCGATGCGGCAGCTACGTGAGCTTTGTTTAGATAGGCTATTGAATCTAATACTCTGTAGAGTCGGTGCTGTCTAGTCAGGAGGAGCGCAAGGATAGGCCCGTTAATGTTGCTTGGCAGGATCTGGGATCCCGTAATGTCATAGTAGCAGGGACGCGATTCCTCGTAATGTCGCAACGGTGTAGGGAGTAAAATCCTGGTTACCACCGGTTTTTTGTTGTGCCTCTGGGCGTAACCAGATGCGGGAGCGGGACCCCGAGAGATTCAGCCGCTGTATCCGGGTCTTCTGGTTCGTCTAGACCGTGCCACGGGGGGGCGTGGACGGGGGCAAGACAGTACGTTAGTATTTGATGAGATAAGTCAATTTGTAATCAAGAAAGAGAGAGAAAGAGAGAGAAAGAGAGAGATTGGATAGTCCTTTTATAAAGTACCTAATTAGTTAATATGATAGCCACGTAAGCTTAAGGTGGATTAGTGAATTTCTGTTCTCAGTAGAGTTAGTACTGCTTAGCTTGAAGAAGCGCAAGGATAGGCCCGTTAATGTTGCTTGGCAGGATCTGGGATCCCGTAATGTCATAGTAGCAGGGACGCGAATCCTCGTAATGTCGCAACGTCGCACACGGCAGGGATCTGGGATTCCGTACGCCGGGTGTCAACGGACATTATTATTATGTCTGGGACGGTACCTCCGGGTCTTAGCGGCGGGAACAGGCCCCCAGGGTCCTCGAATCTCGGGATCGATATGTTGTGTTTATTCTGTTGCCCGTGCGGCTGATTAGTCTGGAGTCCGCGTGGGCGGAAGGCCAAGCAGTGCATTTGCATAGATATGTTTGTAAATCTTGTATTGAGAGAGACAGAGATAAATTAGTCCATCTAGTAAGATAAATAGGAAATAAATAATAGGTAGTTAGGGCAAAACAATATCGGCACATAGCAGTTAAGTAGGTCGGAATTATGAACTGGACACTTATCCTTACTTTTAATTGTGACAGGTATTAAAGTACGCCTCCGCTCAGGGTCAATGCTTCAGGGATTATTTGGTGAGTCTGTGATTTATTATTTATTTGTTTTCCTGACAATATAATACTTTGAAACATTTTAATTATCCTGTCACGAGTTATGGTTTTGTTAGTAGTTTAGATTGTTTATTATTTTATAAAGAAAGTAAACATGAAAAAAAATCTTACAAGAAAAGGTTTTTTTTCAAGGGCACAAGTTTATTATATAATTAAATATATGGTCATCATATGTTAATGAATTATGATTATTCATGAAATGGCAAAGATTTTTAAGTGTTTATCTTTTGTGTTTCCTTTCTTGAGTTATAATTATCATACATTCTCAGGGGTGTGACAAAAGCCACTATCTGAGACGGTTTTACACAGCTTAGTTCTCCATCTCCGATATCAGCTGTACCACAGTTTATGGCAGGAATGGTTATAGTCCCAGCACATTTAGAGGTTAGGTGTTCTGGTATTTACCAATTTTCCCTACAGAATCTACATTCGCCGTTGTTTTTAGCTTCAAACTACTGAGGTCTTTATTGGGGAGACAGTCTCTTGTTACAATCCGAAGATGGTCCTTATTTAAATCAAAGGAAAATTTTTAATTTTTCTCGGTTGACTCCTGAGAAATTTCATTGATTTTCTTAGACCGTTGGAGGATTCCCATTCCAGAGTACGGATGGAGTCTTCCAGGTCTTTGAGTTCCGCTTTATGTTGATAAGATTTCAGTATTATTCAATTAATGTTTGCATTCAGAACTTGAAAAAATGATACCCCATGACAATCCAAAGATTGTCCCTCTTTCTCGATTTTTAATTAAGTTTAATTAATAAAGTTTTTAATAAAGTTCTAATTTCTCGATTTCTCTTTCAAAGGATTTCTTCGAGTGTCTTAGACCGTTGAAGAATTCCCATTCCAGGTTAGGGATGTAGTCTTATCGTTAAGTTTTGCTTTAAGTTGGTTAAATTTAAGTATAATTCAATTGATTTCTGCATTAAAAATTTAAAAAGGAAAACAGAGAAAGAACAGTTCCCTTTCAAGATCGTTGCACAAGTTTATTATACTATAATTAAAAAATATTGATCACATATGTTCGCAAATTCTTCTTCTTCCTTCTTGCAATAGTCCCTGTATGAAACAACTGTTCAAACGTCTTGTGATCCGAATATCCAACTTTTGTACCATCTTTTTAGTGATCTATCAGGTGATCTGGGTGTGTTGGGTATTTGTGTGCGCGTCTATTTTCCTGTTCTCTCGAGGTTCATTTTTTTAAAAACTTTCTTCTCAATGACAACTTCTTGATCTTCCCCACTTCATTATATCTTGTAGAGAGGGAAGGGGGTCCCTCTCTGATATCGTGGTTTCGCATTCTACGTCTTAGTGTGTTGTTCTTAATACTTTCATTTCTGTTGTTCTGAGTATTGATTGATATTTTTGATATATTCGTTTTTGAAGTTTCTCTAGCGCAGGTAAGAAAAAATAGAATAGTAAAAAATAATAAGTATAAGTAATTATTCATAAAATTCATTTAAGTATTATTCAATTGATCTCTGCATTGAAAACCTATTATACAATTGAAGAAATGTTCATCATATGTCAATAAATTATGATAATTGATAAGGCAAAGATTTAGGTATTATTCAATTGCCTTCTGGATTCAAAACCTAAAAAGTGTAACAGACAGAGCAGTTCTTCTCAAAGATTGTTGTACAAGTTTATTATCCAATTGATTAATGTTGATCATATATTGACAAATTATGATAATTCATAAAATGACGAAGATTTAAATATTATTCAATTGATTTCTGCAGTCAAAAATTGGACAGAAGAAAAGCATTTCTTCCTAAGAAATTGAATAATTGGTTATCATATCTTAACAAATTATGATAATTCATAAAATGGCATAGATTTAAGTATTATCCAACTGATTTCTGCACTCAAAAACTTGAAAACTAGACCAAACAAAGAGCAGTTCTCCTCAAGGATCGTATTTCTTCGTTTGTTCCATCTCCGATTTGTCAAATCGGAGTCCCGCATAGGAAACGGATGGAATTACAGTGCCTGGGGGCAATCTCGGGCAATTTAGCGTCGGATATAAAGCCAATAAGATCGAGAGAGATGGTTCTACGGTTTTATTAAGTAGAAGAAGTCGGAAAAGGCAGCGAGATAAGGCGCAAAACGGAGCAACTTTCGACAATTAAAAAGATAAGATTTTAGATAAAGAAAAAATAAGAGTTTAATAATTTGCTGTTAGCAGAATTATTTTTATCAAACTCGCTTAAGGAGTCTTCGTAAGAGGAAAACAATAATATAAATAGATATATGATCGGACAGAGTGGTGTCCCATTTTCATGTGTTTTACAGGGTATCTCGCTTATAAGTAGAGGTACAAAGATGCGGTTTTCACATCACTGTACTACTACGTTCTACCCTTGTATAGGGTTCTACGTAGGTCCGATTAAATTTATTATCTCTGAAACTAAAGTGTCAAAAAAGTCATACTATATCTACAAATTCATTTACCCCGTAGTAGGTATAAAAAACATTTTTGGTAAACTCTGTCTCAAATAATAGTTTCTTAATAAAAATTTATTTTTTAAAAAGGTCCGATTAAATTTATATCTCCGAAACTAAAGTTTCAAAAAATGTCATACTATATCT